GCAAACTTGTTTAGCCCCGGCCTGGCACATACGCAAGTTGCTCTGCACAAAATGCTTTGCGCAAGTTACTCTGTGCAAGTTGCAGTGTGTGCAAGTTGCTCTGCGCAAGTTGCTCTGGGCAAGGTGCTCTGCGCAAATTGGTCGGTGCAACTTGGTCTGCGCAAGTTGCTCTACGCAAGTTGCACTGTGCAAGTTGCTCTGCGCAAGTTGCTCCGCGCAAGTCGCTCCGTGCAAGTTGGTCCCTGCAAGTGGCTCCCTGCAAGTTGCTCTGTGCAAATTGCTCCGTGCAAGTTGCTCCCTGCAAGTTGCTGTGTGCAAGCTGCTCTGTGCAAGTTGCTCTGTGCAAGTTGCTCTGCGTAAGTTGCTCTGCGCAAGTTGCTCTACGCAAGGCGCTCTGCGCAAACTGGTTGGTGCAAGTTGGTCTGCGCAAGTTGCTCTGCGCAAGTTGCTCTGTGCAACTTTCTCTGCGCAAGTTGCTCTGCGCAAGTTGCTTTATGCAAGTTGCTCTGCGCAAGTTGCTTTATGCAAGTTGCATCTTGCGACGCCCGCCCGCGGACCAGGGAGGAATCGAACCCGCGACCCGCCGGTCCCGGGAGCAGGCGCGCGAACCACGACCGCGCCGATCCCGCAGAGGGTTGCGCGAGCGCCGCAGAAATCGCAAACAACCTCGAGTTTTTGTACCTCGACCACGCCGATCCCCGCAGAGGGTCGCGCGAACCCAAACAAAATCGCAAAAAAACACCTCGGGTTTTGCACCTCGACCACACCGATCCCCGCAAGGGTCGCGCGAGCACCGCAGAAATCGCAAAAACAACATGAGTTTTTGCACCTCGATCACGCCGATCCCCGCAGAGGGTCGCGCGAGCCCAAGCAAAATCGCAAAACCTTGAGTTTTTGCACCTCGACCACGCCGATCCCCGCAAAGGGTCGCGCGAGCCAAAACAAAAGCGCAAAAAACACGAGTTTTTGCACCTCAACCACGCCGATCCCCGCAGAGGGTCGCGCGAGCCAAAACAAAATCGCAAAAGACCTCGAGTTTTTGCACCTCGACCACGCCGATCCCCGCAAAGGGTCGATTTTCGTGTAGTGTCGTCGGCACTACCCCGCCGCCCGAAGAAGAAATTTTTTGACTCCTCGCAAGTCAATTGCACTTGACTCCTTGCACTTGCAACTTGCACTTGACTCCTTGCACTTGCATCTTGCACTTGACTCCATGCACTTGCAACTTGCACTTGACTCCTTGCACTTGCATCTTGCACTTGACTCCATGCACTTGCAACTTGCGCTTGGCTCCTTGCACTTGCAACTTGCACTTGACTCCTTGCACTTGCAACTTGCACTTGACTCCATGCACTTGGCTCCTTTCACTTGGCTCCTTGCACTTGGCTCCTTGCTTGGCTCCTTGCACTTGCAACTTGTACTTAACTCCGTGCACTTGCAACTTGCACTTGACTCCGTGCACTTGGAACTTGCACTTGACTCCATGCACTTGGCTCCATTGCAATGACTCTCATGACTCCTTGCAATGACTCCTTGCAATGACTCCTTGCAATGACTCCTTGCCATGACACCTTGCAATGACTCCTTGCAATGACTCGATAGAATATTTGCTTCTGGCAAACCTTCATCAGGTGATTCATCGTATGCTTAAATTGCTAAATATAGAGATAGTAAATATTGGATTGCTCATTTTTTGGGGGTAGCCCAGTATATTCCAAGAAGGGGTGGCCTTCCTTTCCCTTCAACCCAACCACAAACGGCACCAAGCCGAAAATATGCATGAACACCATGGGGGCGCACAGTTAGAATACTGGTTTTTGGCAAAACTTCATCCATAATAAAAGATATAGAGATAGTAAATGTTGATTTGTATATTCTTTGAGGGTCCAAAAGCGTGGCCTTCCTTTCCCTTTAATCCAACTGCAAACGGCGCCGAGCCCAAAATACAAATGAACACCATGGGGTGGCACAGTTAGAATATTTGTTTTTTTGCAAAACTTGACCAGGTGATTCCTAGGCATAATAAAAGATATAGAGAAAGTAAATATTGATTTGTTTATTCTTTGAGGCTCCAAAAGTGTGGCCTTCCTTTCCCTTTAGCCCAACCCCAAACGATACCGAGCCGAAGCTATACATGAACACCATGGGGGGGCAGAGATAGATTTTTGTTTTTGGGCCGGAAAACCTTCATCAGGCCACACTTTAATATATATATAATATAGAGAGAGATAGCAAGCATTGGATGGCTTATGTTTTAAGGGCACTTCAGTACACTCCAACAAGGGGTGGCCTTCCTTTCCCTTTGGCCCAACCCCAAACGGTACCGAGCCCAATACACAAATGAACACCATGGGGTGGCACAGTTAGAATATGTGTTTTTGGCAAGACTTCATCAGGTGATGAATCGTAATAAAAGATGTAGAGATAGTAAACTTTGATTTGTTGTTCTTTGGGTCCAAAAGCGTGGCCCCAAGCGGCACCGAGCCGAAGCTATACATTGTACACCAGCGGGGGGCACAGTTAGAATATTTGTTTTTGGGCCGGGAACCTTCATTAGGCATTTAATCGTATGCGCACATAAACATATATATATATATACATAGTAGATATGGATTTGCTTGTTTTGAGGGTACCCCGCTATTCTCCAAAAAAGGGTGGCCTTCCTTTCCCATTAACCCAACCCCAAACGGTACCGAGCCCAAAAGACAAATGACCACCATGGGTGGCACAGTTAGAATCTTTGTGTTTGGGCCAGGAAACCTTCATCATGCGTTCAATCGTATGCAAATATAGAAGCATATACATATTGTATGTAGAGAAAGTAAATATGTGTTTGCTTAGTTTTTGAGGGTGCCCCACTATGTCCCAAAACGGGGTGGCATTCCCTTCCTTTTAACCCAACCCCTAACAGTACCGAGACCACATATGAATAACTGAGACAGTTCGAGTAATCCCAAATCTTGACATTCCTGTGCAAATCCTTGGAAGTGGAACAGACAAATAGAATAATTTGTGTCAGATACAAAGGCTGCGAGGTCTGGAAAATGACCTTTGAAAGGAGGTATTGGCAATACTAAGTTTAGTCCTGGCAGTCCAAAGCAAGTCGAGAAGTGTGTTATCAGAACAGGTTTATTTTGAGAACCTACGGCCCTTGCTGAATTATTCTATCTGATAAAAATACTAAATTTACTATTGGCAATACTAAAATGAGTACTGGCAATACTAAATTGACTATTGCGGCAAAGCTACCCCCTCTTCTGGTAGCCAACAAACCTTCCAGGATTCGTTTTTAAGTAAAGAATTTTAGAGTTCAAATCCTTGCTAAGCTTTACTAGGCGCATTGGCAATCCAAAGTTTATATTGGCAATGCTAAATTCAGTACCGGCAATAGCAAGAATGTCCTGCCAATACTAAATTTACTATTTGGCAATGCTAAAATTAGTACTGACAAAATAAATGTACTATTCTCAAACTAGTACTGGCAATGCAAAATTAAGTACCGGCAATGCTAAAATTAGTCTTGGCTCGGAGGACCTGATTTTACCGCCCGCGTGCAACTCCAAAGTTTCTAGCTTTGAGCTTTTCGTGAAAGCGTTCGAGCTTCCCCCCCTCTAAGCCAAAAAACCTTCACTAGATTCAGTATCGGCGATGCTAACCTTAAATATTGGTAATGCTAATTTAAGTTCTGGCAATACTAATTTAGTCCTGGCAGTCTAAAACCTTGGAGAAGTGTGTTGTTATCAGAACAGGATTCTTTTGAAATATTCTATCTGTCAAAGCATATTCTATCTGCTGGCCACCTGAAAGGGTGTTCAAATTTCAAGGATTTGCGCAAATGTGAATTATTCTAAGTGTCACTTGTGCTCCTAAATGTTCTAACTGATGTTTTGGGATATTTTCGGAGTAAAATATATTCTAAGTGAGGATCGGACGGAGTAAATTATATTCTATTTGCTAGCCCGATACTATAGGTGCACCGCGTGCCCTAGTGACAGTGCTTCTTTCCAGCAACCCGGCAAAAGAGGTGCGTCTGCATCGAGTCGTCCAGCTTGAGGGTTGGTTTGAGTTCATGCTAGGAGCAGCGCAACAGGTCCTTAACTCAAGGGAATTTAGGCTAGAAGCAGTGCACTAGGCCTTTAACGGCCCTGTTTACTCAGCCACGAAAACGTGAAACCGTGACTACTCCGTGACAAGGCCATGAAAACTCGTGAAATTTCACGTTTTATGTTAAGTTGTCTTCACGCTGGCAAAAGCCTTCTAAGCTCGTACGCCCCCAAGTAACTTGCGACTCGGACTCTCCTGGCTCAGCTGTTTGCGGTGTCCAGCAGTGCCTGCAAGATCTGCCGGAACAAGGTGGAGGCCCCACAGGACGAGGTTCGCCGGAACCAGGCGTCATCCCTAGATGCCGACGGGCTTCTTCGTGACCCGCCTCCTGAAGCCACCAACGGCCCCGACTCCGAAGTAGAACCCTGGGCCACCAAACAGCGTCTCCTCAATTCCGACCTTTGGGCATCCGCCCCCAGCTCCGATCCACCTTCGGAGCCCCCTTCGGCCAACCCAACCTCCTCCTCCTCCTCATAAATGCCACCATCCTTCATCATCTTCCCCGTCACCGGGGCCTACACGGCGCCGGCGCCTCATGATGTCCATGGCGCCCCTAGCCATCAAAGCGTTGGGCTCATAACCTGCAAACCCTGAGGACCTTTTCCATTTGATCCATAGAAGGGTCTGCGTCGATCGCAACTTGAAACGGGCACAGCCATGATGCAGTTTCAAAAACTGTGCCCCATGAGTTTTACGCATAGTCAAACAACACAAACTGACGTTCGCTTGTTGGGAATTTTGGTTTAAGCAATTGCACGAATTTCGCGCAAGCACATGTTCTCAAAACATCACCAAACCGCGTAGGGGTCATTGGTCAAAAAACACATTATGTGAGAAGCATGCCAAGACATCCAGCTCCAGTCCTGCAGCATCATCAAAAACACGTTTTCAGCAACCATTGAGCAAGGCATGCGAGACACGGCGCGATGGCATTCCGGTATTCTTTTTCTGCTTCTGCTGCTTGCAGTTGCAGCAATTCTGAAATGGTGGATGGACATTTTGCCTTTGGCGTCCTCCCATTTGACCATTCCATCCATGGATTCCAACGAACCGAATTCTGAACTCGAACTCGGGCTCGGCCAAGTGACTGCCCTGGATGGGGACGTCAGCATGCTGGAGAGTCTGCTGCAGGCTGCTGAGCCCTTCGTGCTGGTGCTGCAGGCCAACTTGCAGGGAGGCACAGCAACTTTTTTGAAGTCCGTGTTGAATAGCGACTGCGTGGTGGTGATGCCCGTCCTGAAGGCCCCCATCGTGTCGCACTACAGCCTGGCGCCCACGACCGACAGCCTCAAGGTGAAGGTGGGTAGTTTTACCGCCAACTGGGCGTCCAGTGAGCTGCTCCTCGCATTGAGCAGGTGCAAATTTAGCAAGGTCTTCATCAACCACCCGCTTGGGTTCTCGCACAGTTTCATGACAGGTTTGTTTGCTATGCAGAAGCGATTCATCTCCATGACGCATGACTACGTGTGGGTCTTCGACAAGGTTCAACCCACTTTTTCGGATTTGCGGACAGCAGAGGGAGCGAGAAGGAATTATGCATTCAAAGAGCTGCTTCCCAAACTTGAGATGAAGGCGCAGACCACGGCCACTAGCCAGAATTTTGCACTCTTTGATCACTTCAAGTCGCTTCAAGCTGTCCCCATGCCGGATTATCACCTGAGCGAAGGCCAACCGACTGCTGCGTCAAAAGATCTTGTGATTGGAGTGATTGGGGATGTGTCTTGGATCAAGGGGTTGGAGGCTGTTCTGCATTTGTCGCGCCTCATTCCAGACGGAGGCAAGTGCGAAGACATGTTTGCTGGTTCTAGCTATATTCAGCTTGGTCAATGGCGAATCGCTCCAATTGATGACTTGCACTTATCCATTTCACACCGGAACGGACAAACTCCGTTGATCTTCAGATCAGACGGCACTATGCACATTGGTCCTCGAACAGATTTCAATGCTTGGACTCGCGATGGCATGTGTTCAGAGCTGATTGTGACTTCTGGGCGTGATTTTGTGCAGATAGGGGACTGGCGCATGGGAACAATGTCTCAGCATTTTGTGGTGTCGCACAGATTGAATGCTTCACATCCAAGCATACTAACAGCCGGAAAAGTGCAGCGCGTAGACAACAACTTTGCGCTCGACATTTGGGCCTTGCCAACGGAATCTTCAAACGTTGTTTTTTGGGCTGACTCTATGCAGATAGGCTCCTGGTCATTATTTCAGACTCCCCAAACTTTGATCCTGCATGACGGCTTTGGGGAGGCTTTAAGTTTGAAAGCTGATGGCACTGCTGCACAGCCTGATGCTCTTGGCCATTCTAAGCGGCAACCAGATCAGCAGGGCTGCCCATTCCCATCTCTTGCACCATCGCATCAGGTGAAGGTGGTTGTTTTTGGCAACGTTGCAAGCATGTGCCAAGCGGGTGGCAACTTTCACAAGCAGGCTTTCGGTAATATTCAGGAATTCAATGAACTTCTCCTGCGTTTCAGGCCCAACGTGCTTCTCATACCAGCTATTTGGCCAGAAACATATTCCTACACACTGACACTGGCTATGCTCACGAACCTTCCTATCATTGTACGACAGTCTTTCATCGACTTCCGAGCAGCGATATCTGCCCGTGCACAAGAGTATCCAAGAGCGCATTTCCACGACTTCAATGACATGAAGGAGGTCTTGGCTTTGGCAAATCGCGTCAAAGGTGACACATTCACAAAGGTTAATTTTGAATTGGTTGTCCCCCGACAGTGGAAGAATTTGCTGACCCCATCGCTGTACAACGTGGTGTTGGTGGCCTCGAAGATCGTCACAAGTCCTTGCCTCAGCTTGGCTACGTAGTGGTTGCAACTCTTGGCCTTGTTGTCAGGCAGGTCGCACTCAGCATCCTTCAGGGAATTGGTAATTATAACACGTGCGTTCTGTTTGTGTCTAGGCCCGGACATCCAATTGCGTTTGTGGTGTTGCACAAACGATGTTTGTTTGCGGTTGTGAGCTTATCTCGAAATACATGCGGCAGCCATGCGGAATGTACCACTTTGGTGCGCCTTGGAGAGTGAGAAATCGCTGCATGATCCGAATCCGGCTGCCAGCAGGTACTCAGCCGCTATGGTACCACCCGAAGCGAAGCCGCTTTTCACCGCAAGAAAGGTTTGAACAGACATTAGGCACAATTTCTTCCATCCGACATGCTATTCCGCGGAGCTTTATTGTATTGATTGACAACAGTCGCCTGGACAAAACCCACCAGAAGCACCTAAAAGGTGTTGTTGACATTTTCGTCAATGATGCGGAGAACCAAGACTTGCGTCAGTGGACAGACAAGTGTGACGCCAAGCAACTAGGCGAGGCCATGCTTCTTCTTCAGGGATTGCATGCTTTGCAAAAATATCAGGTCATGTACGAGCAGCTGTTCAAGCTAACGGGTCGCTATTTGGTGAATTCCAATTTTCATTTTGAGACATTTGACAACTCGCACAACATCTTCAAGCGTGCCGCAATTGGAAAATCAGTTGAGCTGCAAAAGCCATACTATGCATATACGTGCTTTTTCAATATTCATTATACGCACACGGAGGCTTTTCACACTGCGCTGTCCAGTGTAGTTTCTGAATTGAAGCAGTTGATTTCTCAGGGTATGGCGACCTTTCTTCATGATGACATTGAGTCGCGCCTTTCCCTTATGCTTCCAGATGTAGTATACGTACCTTTGCTTGGGGTCTCGCAGAGGGTGTCCACATGGGACACACCAGACAGAGACATATGACTCCTACGACCCAACACGCCTTTGGCAGAGCAGATCGCATCAATCCATAGTCGGGGAGATCAGTGTTGGGCAGCTGTGCTAAAAGATGCACGTGCCGCTGAACAGTTTAGCCAGCCTTGTAAGCCGGGATGTCTGATAATTAGTCCTCCAAATGCAATGACCCAAAAGATGCGAACAGTGTAGGGCTTGAGAGTCGTGTTTAATGTGTTCCCGTAGACTAGTTGGTATTTGTTTCATGGAAACCGCAACCGTTTGGCTCAAGTCCCAACAGCACCGAGCCGTAGCCAGACAAAAGAGTTCGCGCCGCCATAGTAATTTCCAACAGGAACATCCGAACGCGGGTTATCAGCCATACCAGTAGTGTCCCGCAGAGTTGGGAGGTGGGAATTGCGAAAATATAACAACCACTTGGCGCTGCTTCCGGCTTTCTAAAATTTTCCTGTTTTCAGGCTTTCGCATGTATTTGCTGTGTTGGATTGATTGCATTTGCATTTGGCACGATGACGGTTTGTTTTATGCTGGCTGAAATGCCAGTCAGTAGTTGCAAATTTTAGTTTTTTGCTGGCTGACACCAGTGTTGTATTTGTTAGTTTTGCATTCACTGACCCAACTTCGTTTACGATTCGCTAACACTCGCTTAGTATTGCCTTTGATTAGCCATGTTTTGGAGCATCACCAGGAATGTCGTGATAGTGACTGACTCGTGGTGTTTGGCTCAAGTTTGCGGGTCCGTCGCGCCTCGGATGAGCGTCGCCGGGTCCCCGCGTCGATCGCCCACGTGTCGGTGGAGAAAGAGACATCGGCCCGGGGCAGATTGGTGGGGTCCGCCCGTGCGGTTCATTGTCGATCAAGGTTGCGGGTATGTGCTTCTTGTTTTTTTTTTCCTTTCTGGTTGTTGTTCTCTTGTGTGTGGGAAACCCTGATCTTTGGGACCGGGATTTGGTTTGCTTTTGGGGAACCTTTCTTTGTGGCTTGTTTACCCCAACTAACCCTTCGCCTGGGCACAGGCTCGTGCCCGAATCACAGGTTATCAGCCGTAGGACTTTCCTACGCGCTTGAGACCATCAACTACAAGCGTCGACCCCACGATCTCGGAGGAGTTTCGTGGATGAGGAGGCCATCCTAGGTGGCCCCCGCTCAGGTGAGGACCTGGAAGACTTTGACTACAAGCGCTTTGAAGCAGGTTCGACAGGTCAGGACCGTAGGGGTGATGATCCGACAGGGACACACCCCGAAGCCGTGGCAGGTACACTGACGATGGTGATGACCGAATTTTCTGTCAGGTTACTGATGACGAGCAAGGTCTTCTTGGGCACGGCGCGACAAAACAAAATTCGAACACTTCGGGTGTCCCCTTCTCGCTTTGGGCCCGTGAGTTAGTTCTCCCGCTGGGCGTGTTCGCGTAATTGCACACCTCCACGGGAGTCCTGATGGTGATGGGTCTGCTTCCTCTTGTGCATCTGCAAATGCGGCATATTCCTGATCGTCACCACGCTCGTCAGGATTCGTTGTGCCTATCGGCATCGGATTCGAGTTTCACGTCACTGCCCCACCCTGCAGTTGAAGACAAGAGGGCATCGTGTCCGATACCGGCAAGAGCCCGCTCCTCATCCTCATCAAGCTGATCTGGATTTTGAGCCTCAGTTGGTCGACCCGAGATATCTCTCAAAATCCTGACCAAGGTTCCTGGTCCTCGTGGCCTGTCCGCGAAATCTTCCGGAGCCTGCGACTCACCCGGAAAAAGAGCCCTTGGAGAACGGCTCGGATCGTCTACACGCGCACAGGCCACGTCCATCGCCACGCTGATGAAGTTCAACGGCTCCTGCCCGAAACCTGATGCGGAGCCGTCCCTATCGGGGTGAGCTCCTGGGTCAGTCCTTGTCACAGGGCCATTGCGGGAAAAGACTTTCAGAACGGATCTACAGCGCTTGTGGGACGCATACTGCTAGGGAACAGTGTTGACAACCCTAGACATTCAGTTGATCGCGCTACTGGGTGGCGATTGCTTCTCGACCTTGAAAAAGTGGTTTTCAAGGCATTTCGGCCCTCACGAGTCGCGCTTGCGGGATTCCACGTCCACTTGTGGATTGCATGGCCGCATTTCACGAAACCCCGGTTCGCAGCCAAAAGATATCCTGGCAGAACTCCACGCAGTCTGTCAGCCGGTGGTCAATTCAGACCTGCAAGGGCCTGTGTGAATGTCCTGGACACGCGCGAACGATTTTTAGGGGCTCGCGCGCCGCCGTTCCGCGTTCCGGAACGATGTTCTTGCCAACCACTAAAACCCGGAAAAGAAGCCAAACATAAAGAAAGCCGGGGTGCTCCTGGAAATCAATTTCCACTTCTTCGGGTGCCCACAAACACACCCTTAGTCATCAGTGGCATGCAGCGCTCGTCCCAGGCGTGCTTCACAAATTGCTAGCGGCAAGTTCACATGGCTCTTGTGCCTCAAGCTCTCAAGTTTCAGGGGACCATCTCTGGGATTGTGGTTGGCCGATTTTGGGCGTGAACTTACGAAATTTCAGCACTGGCGACCCCCGATTCTGTTTTTCGGCCTTTCGTTTTTTTGGGGCGGGGGCTCGTGAACTTGCGTGAACTTGCGTGAAAAGACTCTAAACTACGGTGTCTTGGCGTGAGCTTGCGTGAACTTTCGTGAACCTTGGAATTCGCATTTTCGATTGTTTAGAAACATGCGGCCAGCTGTGGGGGTTGCGCGGCCGATGTACGGATATTCGCGGAATTTCCCCTCAGCGTGCGAACCCTTGAAAACCTCAAATGGCCGTGAAACCCATTTCTAGAGATGAATGACTGCCCAATCGTGAGCCCGGGAACTGCGTAGCAATCCCTTGTCTTGAGCTGCGTCTTTTCTATTAGAAAAAGCGCCGACGGCCTGAGCGCTATCCAAGGAAACAGTGCGAGAGTTGATGGCTTTTGGCTTTAGCGTCAATAATCAAAGATACGAGTACCTTTGATGGCAGTTGGAGAAGAAGAAACGCATTGAGGACAATGGCTGGGAAAAATGCAAAAAGCATCGAAAGGGTCCATGGCGCAAGTTAAAGGCAAATGAGGCGGGCGAGTTGCTTTAGAAATGTTTAGAATGTCCGCGCGCCATTCTTTCTGAGGATTGTGTCGATTGATCCCAAGGCTTGCTTTTTCGCAGACACAAGCTATCAGGGCAGGTGCGCGAGCTAACCTCCCTCAACCTCTCCCCCCCCTCCCTCCCGCCTGTTCTTGTTTTGTTGGCTGCCAAGGTTGCAGTTTAAAGGTATACTTGCGTTGCTCGCTTGCGCTCACAGCTTTGCACCCATGCAACTGAACTCGGCGCGCCCTACACGACACGGTTAGATCCAGCTTGACAAACGTTCGGCCTTGGAAATTGCATGACGTCATCTTGCGTCGGCGCAGCCGGCTGCGGCCTAAAAACTGTCATTGCGCCGCGCCTCGGCTGCTATTTTTTGGAACCCAGCTGGCCCATCCATTACGCCCAGTCACCGAATAACGACCCTTTGGCGCAATCTGCAGGATCCCAAGAGTTTGCTACTGGACCGACTCAAACACAAAAGCGACACATTGGCGCCTCGGGCTCTAAACTATGTAGTTTAGTGTCTTTTAGCCTCTCTTGGGAGCGGGTTGCCGCCGAGGAGTGGGAAATGCTCGCAAGACAGAGCACATCATGTTCCCGACTTGCGATAGCGAGTGGAACGCGGTCTTGGAGCGGGCTGTGCGCAACGACTTCATGTACTGCATGCAATCCGGGTGGTTGGGAGGATTGACCAGGAGTACATCAACCCGCGTGGAGGTCGGCACCATGGGCTGATCAGCAGTGGAACATGAAGAAGATGGCGACTGATGCTGCCCACATTCCGGCAAAGCACCACCATGGACGGGCACCCGTTGGAGATTGGGCAGATATGCCCGACAGGTATGACTACATGGTTCAGGGGAACGTTAGTGACCCGAGCCGGAAAGCTTAGGTACCTTGCTGAACGCGCAGACAGGTCAGTGCATTCCGCTGGATGATCCGACCTGGGTCCCGGAAGTCGCGTCATCGCACCTTCTCGTGGCAATGATCACCACGATCAGGTCACATGTGGATTGTGCTCTTGGGCGCGCGTGGCGAATGCCGATGTTCCATCCTCAGCTGATGGCGGCGACCGCGATGCTGCAAAAGCTGCAGAAGTACTTCAGTGCTTTGAACGAAGCAGTCTTGGGCAAGCGGCTGGGCACGGCGCCATTCAGCATGATTGCAGGTCACCTTGCTCCTGAGTTGACTGTTCCAGCCAGGGAGCAAATGTCGGATACGCTGGCTCAGTCTGCTGTCGAGATCATGCTGTCCCATGTTTCGGCATTGTCGCACTCAGGGTCTGCCGCCGATAGGGCGCAGATCCTCGAAAGAGATGGCCAGCCATATGGGAGGTCATGGTTTGAGGATGAGCCTGATGGAGCTACTTGGCCGGGACACAACATGGCCGGAGGCGTTGCAGTTCCCCTGAAGCCGAAGAAGATCCAATGAGGAAAGCGGCCGCAGATTGGTGCCGGCGAGGTCATCAGGACAGCAGAAAGCTGAGAAGGGCCCCGATAGGGGCGGTTTCCTGACATTGGGCAGTTGTTCATGGTGGAGAAGAAGGATGAGAAGAAGGATGAAATGGAGGTGGACGAGGGCACCCAAAGGCGTGGTCGTCAGGGATATGTGCGCCCAAGCCTCACGACACCGAGGTCGGGCAGTTAAGCGCCGATAGGATGCAGTTCGAGGAGTTCCGTAGGACCGCTCCCGGCTATGTGTTCAGTGGAGAGGGTGACAATGAGAGTCTCCTCCCCAAGAACACTCCCATCAACATGGAGAAGCCCCTGCCGGCGGAAGCGGCGATACTGATCCCCAGGGCGGTGGCCACACAGGAGGAAGCCGAGGAGGCCGAGAGGACGGCGATGGAGGCAATCCGTGGGGACGCCCGAATGGTTGGGAAACTTGCTCGATGTGGGGTGGGAAGGCCAGCTACGACAAGCCGGAAGCCCGGCTTACTGAAGCCGGGATGAGGAGTGCTTCGCATGCCCTCACGCAGCTGACGAACTTCCACAAGAGGCAGCTATGCTACAGGAGGGGAACCCCGTCTCTGAACGCTCCGCTCCCAATCAGCTTGATGAGAGAAGGAAGTTCCGCCGAAGC